ATATTTGCTTATACATATGTACATGTATCATGTTCAGGAATAAATGAACCACTAAGGACTTCAGCACAGTCACCAGTTACTGCTGCCCTGGAGTGAGGAATGCAGGAATCTGCCTGTAATTCTTTCCTGGAAGTAAAAACATCTAGCCCTAGATCAGACCATTGACAGCTTTAAAACTGAGTATTGCATTTAAGAGAGCGCACTACTGAGAAATGACTGCCACAAAACCTTCACAGGATCAGCAGATTCCCCAAGCAGCCCATGCTGGACGTCTCCAAACAGCCCCCAGGTACAATGCAAGCCCCTGCATCTCTGCTTCTGCCATTGAGCCTGCCAAATGCACTCAAATCAATCAAAAGTCATTCCCATTCAAAGGTCTTAAACCTTCAGTTTTACCACCAAATACTGAAGCCCTTCATGTGCCCTCTTGGAGGCAGAGGGCATTCGCCAGCAGCAGGGCTGGCACAGCACACTGCTACGTCATTCAGACTGGTTTGCATCTCCATCTCCTCACCCCCACGGAGCACCCTGTGCACATCGCCACAAGAGTCTCTGTTTCACATAGATATTTTTGGTTTTTTTACAGGTGATTTTAAGCTGTCTTTTCCTTCCAGGGATGTGGGTTTATTTTTTCCTTGCAATGTTTCCAAAAGCCTTCTCATACTCTCACACATTACTGCACAATCTGCTAGTTCTTTTTTTAATTCCTAAGCCACAATTGTAGTAATAACCTAAATAACACCAAATATTTTCAAATACAGAAGCTGAAACCATGAAGTGAGGCTTTTACTGAGGTTGTATTGGTGGATGAAATCAAAGCAATGGATGCCCTTATTGCTAATGAATACACCGCATCAATTATTTATTCCCAAGCACACACTTTTAAAGGGTGCTTTGTTATTTTCAGATTACAAAGCACACCAGAAATTTTCAGTTCATCTTTTCCTTTCCTTGATATTGTGTTTAGGTGGATTATTAAATTTCAACATGTATTTCTACATTAGTATTAACTTTGCAACTATGTGACTGGTGATTTTTGTATATGCAAGAATCTGTTCCATCTTCTTTTAGTATACAAATTTGGCTTTGGTACATGTCTTTGAGGTGTTAAATAGCGTGTGGCTTGTGATACATATTTATGTCTTCAACACAAATTGTTGGCTTCTGTTCCATTAACCCTGTAACCTGTGGCAAACACCACCTGCAACTCTGCTCCAGCAAGAGGCTTATAACTTCACCAATGCTGTTTGGAAACATGCAGGACATTGTAGCTATAAATAAAAAGATTCTCGTGCTGTACCTTACTAGCCTTATTTCCTATGTGCAAGCAGAATATTTTGGTCTCGCCATGCTTTCACAGGTAAGTGGTTTTGACAGAGGACTTGAGGCTGAATTTTGCAGTAGCAATAGTAGTGGAAATAGCAACTTGAGAAATGGGATTGCCATGACTCCGCATAATCCAGAAAGAATAACCATAGAAATATTATAGCCCCAAAAGGTTTCCAATTCTTCCTAAACATTTGGGAAGCTTCAGTTTTCTTCCAGGACAAGGAGTTTGGCAAAGCCTAGGTAAAAATAAATTCCCATTGTTGGGTGCAATAACAGCAGCAACAACAAAAATCCACTTTCAGAAAAGGATTTAGCTTTCTCTGTCTACTCTTAGCATTAATTTAGCCTACCATGGAAAATTATATTTAGCCTTGCAATAGGAGGAGGTAGTGCCATGGATATGGAGCGAGTGGCACCGGACACTAGTTAGCACAGGCGGGTATGACCCAGGTTAAAAGCAGGTCCAAGAGGCTTTTGTTCTGAGAGCTACAGAAAGGTTTTGTTGTGTACACACCCCTTCAGCAGAAAACGCATTAAGCACATAGTCCAATGACCATGCAAATTGTTTTTTATGCTTGCTTTGCCCCTCATGGTTTTCAAGCACACAGGAAGGGAAGAGCCATGCTGGGCTGTCAACACTGCTGATCAGAGTGGTTTAACTGGCCAGCTGCAGGCTGTGCCCAGCACTTGTACTTCTGGTTATAGTAGTTTTATGTTGAAGTAGTACGAGAAACCCAGCAGGAGTCCAGCCCTGCACATCAAAGTGTTCAGGCACATAATTAACTACCATAGCCTTTACACAATTCCCGATACATGACACCAAAGAGATGGTGGCTGCACTTTATTTATGGTGCCCAATAGTTGCATTTGGGATACTTTAACCAATTTGCTGGACAATACAATCTAGGTGGTATCAATTTTATTTAAAAAACAAAACAAAACAACCAACCACAACCAAAACAACACAAAACCAAACAAAATAAAAACAGATTACAACTTACACCTCTAAAGTGAGGGATAAGATTCTTCTCCTTGAAAAGAAGGTATAGCTCCCATTTGTTTCAACAAGTGTACAGCCCTATACTTTTTGATATTTACGAGTAGTTCATCATTTCATTTCAGCAAGTAAATTTGCTATCTGCAACGGTTGTCGTTAAAAGAGCCGATCACTTCATAACAATTTACCTGGAATTTTTTCAAAACTAAGCATTGTAGCAGTGGAACAAGCAGTATTGCGGGGTGTTCAACAAGCAGTCAAGCATTCAGCCTTGTCTTACCTGCTCTTCAGCACCTCCAACATCTGAAAAATAGCTAAATGACTGAAAATTTGCTCCTAGCACTATTTTGCATCCTTTTTTGTGATATGGAAACACTACAAAGCTTTGAAAGTAGGCATTTCACTGCATGCAGAACCAATCCCTAGTAAACCCCTAGGACATCCCAAGAGAGACTTTGCATAGTATTTGGATGTAAAGCTAAACTGATACAAGAGGAAATTAATATCAAACAATCCCAAGTAGCCCCATTTTCTTTAGAGATCTCCCTTCTTAGCATCAGGCAAGAATAACAAAGGATGATGATAGCACGTATCTACAGCACAAACACCATGTTCGCAGCACGCACACAAATGAGCCTTGCACTGACCCATGGGACACATCGGATGTCGCCCACCAGAGGGATAAACCACACTGTACTTATTAGAGAAAGAGCTTTTAAATACTCTCTCCTTTAATATCTGGATTGAGCGTTGGCCCCATTTCAGGAAGAAACACGGTGCCTGAGCTAAAGTCCCTTCAGTTGATGGGAATTTTCTCACCAGCTATAAGAGGACTTGCTTCAGGCCCATAGTCTGAAACTTAATTTTAAGCAAATCGGTTCTCAGTCACCCTCTCCCTCACTTTGAATTAAACGTAAATACCAGCTTAGCTTTAAAAGACCTAGGTCCCATGTTAGAAGCAGAACAAGCAGAAGTCCTTTGGGAGAAGGATGAAGACCTGCAGGAGATGCAGGGACGTAACTCCCAAGAAAATTTGGTTTTACTGGTCACATGCGAGAGGAGACAGCCAGCACTCACTCTTGAGTTATTCTGCAGAGTTTACAGCAATAAGCAGCAGGCCAGTTTTGGTCAGTGCAAGAATCAGACAGAACAGCAGCCAGAAA